TAGCGTATGCCATGGATGGTGGTGCTCTTCGAGTACTCCAGCAGCATTCCCTTGCAGGCGGACAGACGACTGCCGTATCTGATCCGGGATTTGATGATCACAGCACTGGGCACATCACTTAACGCCGCCGAGTTGATGCTGCCGCCCTCAAAGTCAAAGGTCGGCACGGTCAACAGTAGCGGCCCCGGCATCAGGCAGCTGGGCTTCTCCTCTCGCACCTCCTTTGCTGCGCTGGCCATATTCCAAATGCGGGTCTAGCACGGCGTTGCATCAACTAAGCTGTGCGGAGTTGCGAGCTACAGTTTTATAGCCAGAAAAAAATGGGTGCGTCCACGAGCCAACCTTCTAAAATTCCCGAAGGATGTCACAATTGGTGAACGGGGACATTTCCGAGTTTAACATATTCAAGTACTTACAAAATGAAGTATGGTTGACATTTGTATGCCATACCCAATTTGCATATTTTAAGGACATCTGTTCCACCTTTAAACTTTAGCATATAGCAAACTGAGTTAAGAAAGGTGATTGACATTTTATACCCTGAACTAATTGAAAATTTTGTGAAAAGTGTGTAACAGGCAGAAGGAATCATCGCAGACCCCACGAAGTATATATATTCTTGATTAGGGCAACGAGCTGAGTCGATATAGCCCTGTCCGTCTGTCCGTCCAATCTCAGAAGATATAATAGCTAGAGAGCTGAAATTTGGCATGCATACTCGGGTATACCATAGGCAGTACAAGTTTATTTTATTTTTCCGATAAGTCATCCGATAACTTTTTATCGAGGACAATCAAAAATCGACTTTGTTTTTTTCAGCCATTCGGCCGTCTATCTATCCGTCCGTCTATCCTTCCATCCATCCGTCCACAAGAAGACTTTATAGAAGAAGCTACTACTCGTATTGACCTCATCCTCGTATTCAGTGAAATTCATGCCCTTTAAGCGCATAGCAAGATGGAAAAATTGGAGTTGGAGCTTCACAATGTCATAGTTAAGCGACTGCAAGCCCCTTCCTGATATTACCAAAGAAGATTCAATAGTTATTTTTATAGTGAATGAATACTATGGAGTCGATAGTCGACTGCAACATTCTAATTTGTTTTATTTCTTGTGCTCAGTTATAGGATTCTGATTAGTAAAATAATGTATCATATATGAAACATGAAGAACAATAACAAATAGACACAGAGATATCCACATCATCATCCTCATCATCATGGATCAATGGGAACTTCATCCTGTTCCTTCGGGAATATTATCGCCTTGCGTTTGCGCCGCTGACTGCAGCTACCGCAAATGCGCATCGAGAAGAAGTATACGAGCTCAATGAAGCTGAGGCTGGAGATGCCCATAAACAAGCCAAAGATACCGCCACAATTGGATATCAACGTAGAGACGCCATAGAGAACGGTTCGCTTTATAGCCGTGAACTGATGCTCCTTGAAGTAGACGGTCAGGCGCGAGCCAATCGCACTGCAGCAATATACAATAGTAAATATGAATATTTCTGATTGGAGTAGCAATATATAATGGTAAATATGAATACTTCTGATTGGGGCTGTTGAAAATATATCAAAATATCAATATATCGGTATTTTTTGTTAATAATATAAAAATATATATTATATATCAGAATATGTTTTTGGCCAAACTTTGAATATTTTTTGTGATATTTTGTATATCCTGAACCAATTGAATATGGAAAATATGGAATTTGCGTAATAAGTGAACCAAGCGCGAATGTACACAAATTAAATAGGGTGAAAACGTAGTATTCAGACTTAAAAAATGGAACAGCCACATGTAATCAAATATGGCGTCGTATATAAAAACAAGCACTGTGTTGCTTTTGAGTACCGCATTTGTATAATTTAAATAAAAAAAGTTTATTCTTATTTTCTTTTTTTTTTTTTTGGCACGGATTATAAATTTATTGTAGGAAAAAGTAAAAAGAAAAACAATTATCGAAAAATTTTGATATATCGATATTTTTAAAGTTGCATATCAAAAATCATATTGATATTTTTTCAAAACCTAAAATATCATCGATATGATATTTTAAAAATATTCGATAGCCCTATTACTGCTCTATGGCGTAGTTACTTACTCACTGTGCTCGTAGACTTCACGAAAAGCTACTAATGTTTTTTCCAGATTATAGAAGGCACGGGATATCTCAAAGTTATATTCCAAGGAGGTGCATGCGGGCATGCAGTTGCACATGACCTTGGTATTGGGATCGACRCTCTGATGTACGGTCTGATTCTGCAATAGGGCATAGAGTTCGTCCTGTGCCTTAGTGTAGCAGTCAATCTTCTCAAGTCCGCATACTGGCACATCCAAGGGCTCTGCAAGGAGAAGAYACTGACTTARARCTGATGATGTAGCCATGCTCGATGTVCGATCACGCACTGGGCATCCAAAACTTGACACAGCCACACTTTGTCATTGTAAAGTTGGCCAGGCACTCGGTCTGGCAATTGCTCTGCGAATAGCTGCGGAAAAACCGGAGATGGCGTTCATCATCGAAGAAGCACTGACGCCTGTTGAAATTTATAAATATGGCAAACAAAGAGAACATACAAGATATAAATGTTATTGCTAAAGAATTATGTCTAGTGTTTACATATTATGAATGTGTAAAAAAAGAATAAGAGAGCTTTAAAGAAACAGTCTTGGCTCTTTCTGCAATACTTCTAATATGTATGTGTATATTTATGTATAATACATATGTGCATGCGTGCATGTAAGGTGTCTCTGATATTCTCACTTTTCAGCTGTAATTTCATGTAAATTATTCGTGGACACGACATAGCTGGGCAACACGCTAACCATGACTTCATGGCCATGGGGCACCAGAATATAATTGTTCGATGTGACCGGCACACTCTCTGGAGAGTTGAGAAATACCTGGAAAGACAAATTAACAATAAACGAATGCGAGCGAACACAACACCAACAACATAGCAACGCACCTTATAGCCCTGCTTAAAGCTACGGCAATCGTAGTCGTAATTGTGCTCTAGTCCCTGTAAGAAGGCAAAGAACCCTTTCGCAACCGATGAGGCCACAGTGCGCTGGGGATACGAGTTCTGGCCCTGATCCACATAGCCCGTCGACAGCGACCAGTTGCCCCGAATTTCATTTAGTCTGGGCAATTTTGTGTCAAAGTAGTTCTGAAAGTCAACTACGTCCGGATCCACATAGCTGAKGAAACGCTCATCGCGATAAATATCCTTGGGTCGCAAACCGTTGAACTGATAGCAAATGCCCTCGTCCGTGGCCACAAAGTCAAAGAGCTCGTAGCAAAAGTAGAACCGGCCATTCCAGCGACAAAACGGACCCGTCTCATTCTTCGAGATGCTCAAATCCACCAACGTCTCCGTCACATTTTCCGTTTGCTGGCTATGCAGCTTTGACAGAATCGGCGCAAACCTCTTAGCAACATCCGAGTCACAAATGTGCATGGTGGCTGCCATACGCTCCAAACTATAAATAGA